CTCCGACGTTAGCTTCCACCTCGTACTGCTTGGAGCAATCTCCACAACACACGTGGCCACAGAGCTGGCAGTGGAATTCTCTACGAAGGAGAGAGAACCGGTTGTTGCACACTTCGCAGGTCTGGAAGCTCTGGCGGTCGCTGCCTCGGTCCCCAGACTTGAGCTTGATAAACGTCTGCAATCCGAGGCGTCGTCGGCGAATCACGCGCTCGAATTGCATCAACGAAGTCGTCAATAACTCAATCACATGCTTGGCTTCTGCATTCACATGGGACGAACGGTAGTTGGCCAGCTCCGAAGGACTGTACGACGTCATGGTGCGTTGCTGCTGTTGACCGAACTGCTCTGGAGGCGTCACGGACGCGTATCCGTGCGCAATGATCTTGGTCGATTGAGCGGCGCCTCTAGCTCCGATGCAGTGGACGTTCCTCGTCTGGATGTCGAAGCCTACTGAGATATGATCAAGGCCACGTAGGCCACTGCCCAGCACTGATCTGCTCTGATGTTTCTCCTCAATAGGAGCGAGTTGGTCGTGCACTGATCGAGGCAGCGTCTTGATTACGTGAACAGCGCGTTGTTTCCCCACGAACTGATGCGTCAGAGTGGCAAGACAAAGCTTCTGCAGACGTTGGTGGCGGTTGCGCAGTCGGCCACGCACGTCGAGCCTTCGCTTGGATTTAAAACGCGTCATACTAACACTGACCAGCACTTTACGCTCTGAATCGTCCTCCTCTTCATCCTCGGGAATACTCGTGTTGTCGAATCTCACTGTCTTGCCTCCTCTTGTAGATTTCTGCGTGAGTCTAGTGTGTCTAATAGGTGCACCGTCGAGCGTCGTAGCATGCGGTTGTAGCAACACTTCACCTTGTCGGACCTTCTTTTTAGGGATAATAGCGCGCATCGAGGCCTCCAAGTCGTGGTTGGTCTTGTGGCTTGTCAACACGTTCAGCACCTCGTTTAAATGACACTCGATCTCGATCGTCGCCACCACGGAGTGCACAAGATCCATGTCGTCTCCTTTGCCATCTCGAGTAGGCAGCAGCTCGAATATCTCGACGGCCTCACCGCTTTTAGACTTACGAAGCCAATTCGGTGCCCTGTTCTCGTGGTCCTCTACCGCGGCTTTGAGCTTGGGGAGAGTCGCCAATAGATCGGTGACGATCTCTTGGTCCGACAGCTGAACATTCAAGCCTGAGGCATCCGTGTCGTCCATTCCACCCGTGATAGTAAGTCGTCGTTGCTTGGGGTCGCATTCGAGACGCACCCCGCGAGAACTCTCGCTGCAGCCACTTTCACTGATCATGCTGCTGGTAGCCCACATCTCGCTCTTCCGACACTTATGCCACGAACAACAAGCACGCGGTTTGACAAACTCAGAGAAAGCAAAAGTGTCGAGTCGGAAGCAGAGCCAGAGTTTGGACTCCCCGGGCCCTGCAAAGCCGCCATTCCACCGCACCGAGCTGTACAGTGGCTGTACATGGACACCATCCTCGTCACGAAGAGCTCAAGCTTCTACAGTACGAAGGACAAAGCTCGAGCCGGTACCAGAGACCGTACGATCAGCGGGGTGCTCGAAAGCAGTAACGCTGCCACCTGGACTCCAGGCTGGAGCGGCCCAATTGAGCGAACAACTTCCCTAATGTACCGGTATGCAAAGTGAGGCTCTTCAACACAACCAAGCGACAAAATGGGTCCCATCGGTTCCCGATCTATCCGAGAATCTCGAGATGGG